GATAAGAAGAAACAAAGGAGACAAACCTTCTCAGCCTCTGCCATGTGCGCTTTGATTTCAGTATCGAGTCTGGCAATTTCTTGTTCATCACGAAGCTTTCGCAAGTCCTCTTTTTTCTAAAAAATTCAATCAGCACTAAAACGAAAAAACGATAACGAAAGGCTCAAAAACCTTGCTATATTTACAAAATATGATTTTATGTAATACCTGGCCATTCTCTTCGTTTGCTTTCAACTTTTCCAAATTCTTTCGAATTCGTCTTTGATTATCTTCATCTAATCGCGAGAGGAACTTCAGGAATTCTCTTTCAAACCCGAGCTTCTCGAACTTGTCACTTTTAGGGTACTCCAGTCGCAGATTGTCATCGTGCACCTTCGGACAGGCCCCTAAAATGAAACAGTTCATAGCATGAAAAGAATAGAGCATAGTTAAGGAATGATGATGAATTTTAAAAAGCTACAAAGGTTAAACTCACCCAGATCTGCTTTAGTATTTACAAACATATCGTGTGGACAAAAGCCAACAATGTAGTATTTGCATATGTCTGGATCCTAAAAGAAACTCAATAGAAGCCTTGAAAACGTACTTTACATCATTTTAGAAATTGTTATATTGTCATTCATTCTCAATCAACATTTTCTCGTTCATTAAAACTTCGAAAGAACCTCAAGAACACGAAATTAGGTCCTCACTTCTTACAAAGAAAACCTTTTCTAAAAATCCATTCTTTGATAAAACAGAACACGATATATCATGTCTGCGATCAAGCTCTTGTATGCAAAAACATTTTTCTAGCATCACATTAGTATGCATGCCGACGACTGTGTTTGTGTAAATTACATTCACGCAACAAGAGAAAAACACTTATCACACTATCGCATTAACAGATTCAATATCGCTTCACTACATTTATTTCAACTGGAAGTAGAATCTCTTTCCGAAAAATATGTAGTAACTGCTTTCATGTAGAAGAAAGATTAGAAAAGACTTTTATGGCGTGAATACCCATCATATATTTTGTTTAATATATACATGCAAAACTCTAGCTGCTAGTAAGCATTCTTGAGTAAGATTGTATCCATGTCATTTCATTCAAATCATTCTACTAAGAAAGATCGCCCTTGTGTGCACGATAGTAGGCACTAAAACCAGTTTCTAATCGAACCTCCATACTCGTATCACTACCAACTTACAAAAAGCAATTTT